GTGTTTCTTCTTGTTAAGCAGTTTTATAGTAAAATCAAAGATGTTTTTAAGTCTATAATCTCTATATTTCCACTTCTGCTGGCATTAAATGTTGTAATTTTTGGGTTTGTTTACGTATTTCGAATGCCAAATACTCCTTGTCCTCACAAAACTAGTGTACGAGACTAGGGCGCCATTGATCTGCTAAATCGAGATTTCTAACGCTTCAATTGACAAGTATTCTGTTTCATTCTCGTATGCCGTACTCCAATATTGTACTGTTCATGACATTTTTTTTTTACAACAATCAACATCTTGAAATGTCAAATTTCTTCAGAATATTGGAAATGTTAAACCAGCCAGGATTGCTGTAATAGTTTAATTTGTAAATTTTCATTGTTTCCCTCTTCTATGAAGCTGATGTCCTTGCATAACGATGCACATTGCATAAGCTAATCCTTCGCTCTGAAGCTAAAAAGTTTATATAAAACAATAGTGAATGCTAAACGACAATTTGAGCTAGATCTGCATTCCTACTAATTTATAATATTAAGGGTTCAAGTTAAGATTTTTAATGTTTGAGAGTACAAATTAAGAATCGAAGCAACATTCGGGGGTGTGAAATGATATTAGACCTAATATTTTTTATATAAATGGGTTGATTAATATTTTAAGGAACAATAAGAATTACAACTTCAACTAATAAGAGAGCGCTATAGATATCACAAATCGAGCAACTTTGTTTTGGTAAGAATTAATCACTTGAGCTCTTAGTTGACAGGACTTGACGAGAATTAAAGATGATCAACTCGATTATCATCTAATTTGATTTAAAATAACACACTTTTAGTGACGTAATTTCACAAGTGGGTTGGTGGAGGGAGGATTTTGCAGAAAGTGGATGCAAAAGGACAAGTAAGACGTGAAAGAAAAAGCAAAAAAGAGATGGAGAAGGGATTGTAGATTTTTATATAAACGGGTGTGGGTGTGTCTCATGGTTGTAATTGAAAGGTTGCAACATTAAAACAAAAGATCTTAGCAAAGCAAAAGTTGCTGGAACAAAAATCAGATGAACAAACAACACAGAACTCCTGTGTTCACATCATAGCTTTTTTCAAAGACGACAAGGAACATAGTGAATTTGCATTGAGGTTAGTGGTTGCCTTAATAGTCATTATTTTTGTTAAAACATGACATGATTCGTTAATATAACATGAACACAATACGAAATTAGAAGGTTTGGATCTTCTTTAATTCATTAGTTTAGTAAACTAGTTGTTGCACACATGCACTGCATGTGTACTATTTTGCATTATATTTTATATATATTTTTTTTACAATATAGATTGTTTTCGCTACTATAATGTATAGTCATGTTAAATACCAAAAATATTTCAGTAATATTACGCTGACCAAAATTAAGGACCAAATAAAGAACACAAATGACATGATCACAGCGTTCAATCCAACCCAATTAATAAATTGATTCAAATAACATAATAATAATAATAATAATAAATGATTTTTTTTCTTAATCTTACTACTTTTCTTATAGTGAACTATTCTTTATCTCTTGGAATTCCTTGAAATTTTTGAAAAGATGATAACCAGTTTGTGGTAAAGAACATAAAGTGAGGAACAATTGAGAGAAAGTCACTACTCAAACAAGCAAAAAAATCTAAGACATGCATATTTGAGAAACAATACTGCTATTGATCATCCTATTGGGAATTTGAGATTCCAAATTTCCTTAAAAAAAGATGGGAAAGCAAGAGTATCAAAGACATATACATTCACTTGGACGTACATTGTCACAAGACTCACAACCGAGGAGGACATGGGTATTTTCATGAATATAAACAAAATTTCCAAATTTGCTTTATTAATCAGATGTATGCAGTTGTAGNCAACTTTGTTTTGGTAAGAATTAATCACTTGAGCTCTTAGTTGACAGGACTTGACGAGAATTAAAGATGATCAACTCGATTATCATCTAATTTGATTTAAAATAACACACTTTTAGTGACGTAATTTCACAAGTGGGTTGGTGGAGGGAGGATTTTGCAGAAAGTGGATGCAAAAGGACAAGTAAGACGTGAAAGAAAAAGCAAAAAAGAGATGGAGAAGGGATTGTAGATTTTTAT